TCGGACATGCACCGAGCTGTATATTTGTTTAAATTGTCTCCATTGACTTCATCCCGGGCGAGTCCCCCGAAAAAAAATAATCTCTGGACGATCCGATTTCACAGCCTAGAACAATTAAACTTTACAACATAACAGCAAGCGCAATGGCCTCCAAAGTTGCCAACCCCCGGAATCTCCGCGACCAGTCTGTAGTGGCACACGGCTTCTGGCTCACGTATGTTGCTACCCCTCATTGCCCCTCATCTCCTCAAGCCTACCCTCTGCGGTGGTACTTCCCAACGTCCAAGCCGCAACGCACTCCTGAATTGTGCCCATTAACTAACGCGGCTCTGTCATCGTTTATAGATTTCCCAGCGCTCCCCTCGCCAAAACCATCCTTCATCGTCCTTTCACAGAAAAGTCTAAATTCAGCTGGGTTCTCATTGACGCAGAGCATGGATTGATCACGGATAGAGACTACTATGACGTATGGAGTCTCCATTTATGACTCAGGCTCAGCGCACTAACGGTTGCTGATCTAGCTCACCAATGCTGTTGCATCGGAAGGAGCCGTGCCCATCATCAGAGTCCCGTGGGGTGAGGAATGGATGATCAAACGGGCCCTTGACGCCGGTGCTCACGGCATCCTCACGCCCATGTGCCACACCGCAGTACGTGCAATGCATGATCCCTCGTGATGTTCCGCGTCCGTGGCAAACAGCAGTACTAAAAGCTTCTTGTTTCTAGGCCGACGCAGCCAACATTGTCAAGTACTCCAAGTACCCACCCCTGGGAACCCGTGGCTTCGGACCGCTGTTCGCCACTCACTCATTCCCGAGCGTACTGCCTGGCGATGACTACGAAGCGGTCTCGCAGGATGGAATCATAGTTATGGTGCAGATCGAGTCCAAGTCCGGTGTGGAGAACGTGGAGGAGATCGCTCGCGTCGACGGTCTCGACGGCATTCTGATCGGTATGTCAGGAACAGAGCCCCTGCAGATTTCGAGATGCTGACTTGCGTATCGCAGGTCCTTTCGATCTTGCCAAGCAATTGAACGTCACTAGAGGCGGCGAGGAGCATGAGGCTGCCATCAAGCGCATCTTGGCTGCCACCAAGGCTGCCGGAAAGAGGGCGGCGATATTCTGTAGGTTCTATGCTGCACTTCTCGGCATTTAGGTTTCGAGACATGCTGACAGGGATAGGTACCGGTGGTGTTGATGCTCGGGCTCGCATAGAGCAGGGCTTTGATATGGTATCTGTTATTACCGACGTTGGACTATTGGGCGACGCAATGCAGAACGAGTTGGACATTGCTACCGGTCAGAAAGAGATCGACAGCTCCAAAGCCTCGGGGTCAGGATATTAACGGGTTCGGCCATGACTTATGATAGAACTTTCTTATTTGTATATGAACAATTTCGCGCAATAAACATCTGGGTTGAATGGAATACATTTTCATCGGGACTGGGCTGGATGAAGCATGATAGCCTCCACAAACACATGGTGACTTGTCGTTGACTATAATCAAGTATTAGGACATTGATATCTGATTTCATGTAGCCAAAATGAATAGTCATACTCAGACAGATATTCCCTACCGGAAAAGTTAACCACTTACCATTCGCATATTACATCAGTCATGCCTCAGGCATCATAATTGTAACGCCCGTTTGTACCGTTCATTGTTTGATGCAAGATAATCTCTTCGCACCTTTCAAACTCCAAAATATACCTTCTCAACATCAACTTTTCAATTGACAAGCCCACAATGCCAATTCACATGCATTTTAGGCAACAATGGCCCAACTTTCTGACATCTCTGCTGGCCTGATTTACAAGGCGGCAGCGACATTAGCTAGGCGGCTACGATGAGGTCAGCGCCCGTCCGGCGGCCGATCATCTGCTTTTGGCCTTCCCCGGAATTCCAGCAATCATACCTATTTGAGTCTATCCCCATCCTACCCAGCGCTGATGGCCACCTTCCTTGGTTGCCAAGATGAATACTCGCCAAGTCATCGATGAGTCGGTGGGGCCGTACTCACTGTCGGCCTCATTCAACAACGACAACACATGTTTCGCCGTGGGCCTGGACACCGGGTTTTGTGGTAAGTGGTCACTCACATGTGCTGCTGCTCTTCCCTCCCTCGAGGAAGTCGCTCTCTTATCGGGACAGCAGCCAAGCTAACCAGAGCATCGAACAGTCTTCAAAACCGACCCATGTGAGCTTACTGTTTCCAGAGGTACTTAACAATACATCTCTTCTCTATCTTTATACTCTATTTGAATATCGAGTCAGGGTTGCTAATCACTGCTTTGAACATCCCTACAGATTTCAACGCCGGCATTGGTCTGGTGACCATGCTCGGCCAGTCGAAATACCTCGCAATCACCGGCGGAGGAAGACAACCGAAGTTCCCTCAGAACAAGGTGCGCACGGAATCTCCCTCCTTCCTTCTCCCTCTCGACATGCTTGGGTTGTGATGCAGTGAATCTATACTGACGACGAGGGTTCCGTGGCTAGCTGGTGATCTGGGACGACGCAAAGCAGAAAGCCGCCATCACCCTCGAATTCCGCACCTCGGTCCTGGGTGTCCGCCTGTCCAAGTCGCACATCGTCGTCGCGCTGTTGAACAGTGTCCATGTCTTCGCTTTCTCGATCCCGCCGCGGAAGCTCTCGGTCTTCGAAACGGTGGATAACCCTCTGGGTCTGGTTTGCCTGGGGGAGAAGCTACTTGCTTTTCCCGGCCGATCCCTCGGGCAGGTCCAGCTGGTCGAGCTCGAGACCGGGAACGTGAGCATCATCCCAGCACACGCGCACCCTCTGCGGGCCATGACTCTGAGCTCGGATGGCGCGCTTCTGGCCACGGCGAGCAAGAGGGTAAGAACATCGAGCTTTCCCCCATATGCATCAGGCTAGGAATTGATTCGAACTTACGTCTCTTCCAGGGTACTATGGTCCGGATTTATTCTACTAGTAATTGCACGAGGATAACCGAGGTACGCCGGGGTCTTGATGAAGCAGATATATTTTCGATTGCTATATCACCTTCCAATACGCTGTTCGCCGTGACGTCCGATAAATCGACCCTGCATGTCTTTCCAATGCCCAAACCTGAAGGCTCAAATTCCAAGTGGGGATTCCTGGCAAAGGTTCCTATGCTACCCGGGTTCTTCTCCGACACATATTCATCTGCCACTGCACATTTTGAGATAGGCCACGAACAGTCATCCGAATCAGCCTATAGTATTCCTCCACTGGGAAATTCGCTTGGGAAACCGTCCAAAGGGAACATCGGCTGGCTCGATGATAGGACCATCCTCGTGATTGGCTCGGGTAGGGATGGGCGATGGGAGAAATTTGTTCTTCACGAAGGCGATGACGGCAGACTCTATTGTACCAGAACGGGCTGGAAGAGGTACCTAGGAGGGGGCTAAGGGGTATGTGTCCGCCCGGTTTGCTGAGAGCTTCATCAACGACATTCGTGGTCTGGTGTTTTTGTGGTGTGGCCATACAGTCACCATCTCCGTTGCAGGCAACACCCACACTGCAGAAAAGTCTCAAGGATCGACCCAACAATGCGTTCGCGGATTTGATATCGTATAGTCACTGAGTTTGCTGATGGAACTCATATTGAGTGACAGAAGTTGGCTATTGAAGAAGCGAGTGCAGTGCTCCTGGCACTTGCTTGGTGGCGTTTTGATTGCTTTGGATAGAGGCTTGACCTTTTTGAGTAGTATAATTTATAATTAGACAGCCTTGCTTTAGACATCTAACGATAGCGGTCTTCTCGGTCCCTGTTGCGCCTCGGCTCGGGTGATCTGGACGCGACTGGCGTCCTGTCTCTGTAGGGTCTGTCCCTTGTTCTGGAGGTCGAGCGGCGGTCTTTGTGCGATCGAGATTCCCTCGCGGGCGATCGGCGATCCCGATGTCTCCTTTCTCGCGAGCGTGAACGGTCGTCATCATACCGGCGACGGTGGGAACGGTGGTGACGGCTCGATCTTTCGCGGCTGTGCTCTCGCCTGCGCGAGGACTTCTTCTCACTCGATCGTATCCTGTCCAGCGCACGCGCAACCTCTTCCTTCTTCTCCTCGATGAGGAACTCCTTCATCGGATCCTCCTCGTCATGGGTCCTGATCAGCTCCTCCAATTCGAGTTCCTCCTTGAGCTTCGGGCGCCGGCGGGCTTCCTCTTCTCGCGGTTCGCTGGTCCGTCGCTTCCGTCTTGTCGTCCGCTCGTCATCGGTATCTCGATCGTCGACGGCCTTCCCGCCGGCCGTATCTTCCCCCATGAGTCTCGCGACATTGTCCGTCTCCTCCTCGTCATCGCGCCGCTTGTAGCGCGTGTGGTCCACGCGCAGGACCCGCCCCAACACAGTGGCACCGCCCAGGTTATCGACCGCGAGATCCGTGCTGCGTTGGTCCTCGTACTTGAGGAATGCGAACCCCCGGCTCTTCCCGGTGTCCTTGTCGCGGATGAGGTTGATGTGGACCGGCTCGCCGTACTGCGAGAAGATCGTGAGGATGTCGCCCTCGGACAGGTCGAATGGCAGTCCTCCAATGTAGATATAGGCGGTGTCGCGGTAGTCGGCGTGCCAGGAGGCTTCTGGGGGTCTGAGAGCATCTGGTCAGCGACCATGACGAGAAAAAGAATCCCGGCGGTAGAAGGGGCGACTTACACGGCATTTTCAAGCTCGCGCTTGTTCAGCGCTTGGACTTGGCGGATGTTATTCATGTTCGAAGTGCAGGTAAGAAAAGCTGCAAGATCTAGGTCAAAGTATTCATGGATATGGAATAATTGCGAAAGTAGAGGGGGAGGGAACGAGGAAAGAGAAGGGGTTGCTGGTCGTGCTTTCTTGCTTTCTCAAGGTTGCAGCAAGCGGAAGTTCGAAATCACGGGCTTGACCGCGGGAAGGGAAGAAGGGAAGGTCCCCACCCGCAGCAGACCGTCCCAAACCTATGGGTTTAATTGTTTACAAGCTAGAAAAGAATAGGCAAACCGCAGTCACTTCAATCCTCCACCGCTCGATTCAGTTTCATACACCAACACACACGACAAACCACGAAGATACCTTTCTTTTTTTTCTGCGACCCTGGCAGAAACACCGCACACTTAAAACTTTCGGTCCGATCGGGCGAGCGAGCACAACGTCTGGGCTGTTTTGTGGTCCTCCCCCGCCCTCCGAGATCTGCGCGGCCAACGCCAGATTCCCCTGACACTCCAGTGTGGTTCCCGATAAACCCTCCCACCTATCCTCACGAATTTCCCGCAATCAACGCGTCTTGTTCGACTACTCCCCCCAAAGATACTCACCTCGATCTGACCTGGAATGAACTGCGCCAGCTGAGCATGGTCGAGATTGGATAGACAATGTTAGCGTCGAGCCAGAATACAGGGTCCCGATTCGGGACCGGCAGCAACAACAGTCGGCCGTCGAGCAGAGATGGCACCAAGAAAAATATCTGGTCTTCTATGCTAGATAGTGTCGCAAATGGAAAGCGACTTCCAGAGAAGAATCTTTTGATCCTAGGTTTGGATTCCCTCCCTTAAACCCCCCTCCAGCACTGCGCCCGCACCGTCGGCCGTGCTTCCGCCCGAATCCATCTGTCGGTCAATGCTGATTATGCCAAAACTACAATCTAGGTGGCACACCTGAGACGCAAAGAGAGTTCCTCGACACTCTTTCCGCCGACGCTTCAGATCCCAGCTTGTCGTCAAATGACCGGCGAAAAGGGCGAGTACCGCCAGTGGCCAACCAGTTCGCCTTAGGATATACTTACCAAGATGTGCTGGACGCTGATCACGAAGGTAATCATCCGAATTCGTCCCGGTAGATTGTCAGGTCTCCGCGGCCCTTTTCCTTCCGTTTCCGCAGTCGTATGCTAATGAGGACCTGCTACATACAAAAGATATTCTGGCGCGTGTCTCCGCATACTTACTTTCTGAGCCCTCCCTCTCCTTTGCGCCCCTCCTCAAGCCGCTTCTGACTGCACAATCGGTACCGGAAACCTTGGTTGTGATCCTCCTGGACTGGTCGGACCCTTGGACCTGGGTGCGTCGACTGCGCGAGTGGGTGCGCCTTCTGAGACATGTCCTCATATCGCTCGACGATGAGACGAAGATCGTCATGGAGGAGAACATGACTGAGTGGAGGGATCGGAAACGGGGCATGGATGCCAGCTCGGCCGGCGCGCAGGGTCTGACGAGCTCCGGTGGTCCCGTAACAATACCTCTCGGCCCTGGCGAGTGGGACGAAGGGCTCGGTATACCCATGTGTGTTGTGTGTCAAGGGGTAAGTTGGTCCGATGCCTGGGGGAGGTCAACAACTGACGATGCTCTTGTTTGAATCAACCAGGCCGACAAGATCGAGAAGCTGGAGAAAGACCACGGCTGGCACGAAGAAGAGTTCGACTTCATTCTCCAATTCATGAGAACACTGCTCTTGAAGCGTATGCAACCTACTATCCCTCAATTCGGACTGCGAATTCTAATCGATTACAGATGGCGCGTCACTTATCTACACCACACCGTTCCTTGCCAACTCCCTCCAAAGCTTATTACACTCATCCCTCGGCATCCACTCATTATTAAAACGGCAATCGTTTAAACACAACGTCATCGACCGGGATAAGATCCTCGTCCCGTCGAATTGGGATTCGTGGGGTAAGATCCGCATCATCCGCGAAGGATTCGACATGGACGGCGTCTCAACCGCCTGGTCCATCGAGATCCAGGACCCCCCGGAACCGATCACCAACGGCGCCAGTGCCGGCGATCTGGAAGATGAGACGACCGACGACGGCACCAGCGCGGTCGCGATCTTCGAACAGACGATCAAGGACCCGAAGCGGGACACGTCGATGGCTCATCCCGGAGGCCAAATGAACGGAACCAAGATTGAGGTCGACACGTCCGACATGCAAACCTTCCTCACAAAACAACTCGAGGTTCTGGAACAGCTCAAGTTGGAAGACGAGAAGGACCGCACAGCGAAGCAGGTGCCGCAGCTGGAGATGTCCCCGCTGGACGACAACGGCCGGGTCAACGAGCATATTGGCCCTGTACAATTCAACATGGGTGGTATCCAAGTCGACGCGGATGACATGCTCCGCAAGCTCAAGGTCAGTGGAATGTCGTCACATCCAATAGGAACAAAAAGTCAATCGTCTAACCCCCACCCAATCTACAGGAACGAGAAGCCAGCCGATCCCAGAAGAAAGAAACCCCCTCGGCCACCGGCGATGAGAAAGCGCACAACCAAGCGCTGGCCAACTTCTTTGCTGGCCTCGTCAAAAAACCCGGCACCACTGGCAGTCCCCGCGGAAGTCCATCGGCTTGAAGTCATTTCAGAGGGGCTTAGCAGCAGCAGCAGCGGCAGCACGAACCGTTTTTGACTCAATCACGAAGTTCTCGAACCTGTAATAATATTGCTATCTCCCCCTACCCTACCTACACGTGCCTACCCACCCAGTACATATTCAGATTAGTCTTCCGGGTATGATGATGGCTTTCGGCTTCCTGCTGAGGCTTTGCGAGGATCACTGCGCGTGGCCTTGTATCACAACCCGGCAGATCTTGTTTTTGTGTTTCGTGATACTAAATTGGCTTGAGGTATGGGACACTGGACTTGATACATTGATTGACGAGTCAAGGAGGTAGTACCTAGGTAATTCTTTGGGGGGTTTGGGGTTAAATGGAAACCGGAAGAAGGGGAACCAGGGAGGAGAGATTATGGGGGAGGGGGATTTGACTCTACGTAGTCGACCTGGTTTTGATTGTTCGGGAAGGGGTTGGCGGCGGGGTTCCCCATTGTCACATTTGAATGATATAAATTCATTAGCGCAGTTCTGGAGTCTCATTCTCAGTTTTCTCTGTTGTGGATATGGATACCAATTGAAGATTGTTGTGCTGAATGTGTTTGTATCTGGGAGTCAATCCTCGTCTTGATACTTTCTGACTGAAAAAGAAGTTGTGAATGCTAAATACAATAAGCGAAGCGATGTACACAATCACGGGAAATTTATTTTACCAAGATGCCAGATATTATTACACGACTACACCCAAACCTGCTGTGCACTGGGCACACACAAAGCACCTATAAATACATCATCCAAGAAGGGCGAAGGGAGCATTCCCCCTTCCCAAAATGCCAAAGCTTCAAGGGTACCCCAACCTCCATGTAATTTGGGAATGGAGCCCAATCACCAATACTCCCACACCAGATCCGGCAGCACGGTGCGCATGATCTGCCAGTGCTCGAGCGCGGAGCGATCCTGGTACTTGTGCAGGAGGTGGGACTCGCGGTCCGTCAGCAGGCGGCGGCCGTTGGGCGGGATGACCTCGAAGCGGGCGGGGTCGACCTCGTGGCGGGGGAGCAGGTGGGTCTCGCGGAACTTGCTGCCCAGGTAGTCCTTGGGGGCGGGCTGGCGGAAGCGCAGCGGGGTGGCGGCGCTCTTCTTGCAGAAGATGACCATGTTGGTGAAGTCGTTGTTGAGGTCGTCGTTCTCGGCCGCCTCGCGGAAGATGCGGCAGGTCGGGAAGACGGCACGGATGGTGCGGATGGTCAGGGCCGCGGGGTAGAGGGTGATGTCGCCGGCGTAGTTCTGGGGATGTGATGGTTAGTTTTGTGCGGTGGGGTTGGGGTTTGGGGGTTTGGTACAAGGGCAATGACGCCGTCGTCTTTGAGGAGGGAGGCCAGTTTCTCGATGAATTCGATGGTGAAGAGCTCCAGGGGCTCGGCGCCGCCGGTGAAGACGTCGTGGACGATGTAGTCGTATTGGGCCTTGGGAGAGCGGTCTACGAAGGTGGTGGCGTCTTCGATGACGGCGATGTGGTTTGCGGGGAGGTGGAAGTACTCCAACGCGAACTGGTGCACGACGGGGTCGATTTCCACGATCGTGGTCTCGATGCCGTGCTCGATCAACGCTGACGGCGTGGTTCCGACGCCGAGACCGCTGTGTGTGGATTAGCTTGATGGGTCATGGAGCTTGCAGGGATCTGGGGCTTACATGACGAGTGCCTTGCTGTCGGCGTCTACGCGGGGCTCGCCGTGGTCGGTCTCCACAAGGCGGACAGATTCCAGCATGGTGAAGACTGCGTAGATCGGATCCAAAGTGGCAGGGCTGTAGCCGCGCGGCATTCTGGTCCACTGGCCTCCCAGCAGGCTGTGGTCGCATCGCATGACTCGGAAGCCATCGTTCAGGTTGTCAAGCACCGAGATGTAACCGGTGTTGGAGTCCTGACGGGCAACCAGCGCGAAACCCTCATCGTTCAAGTACGAGTTCAGGGCTCCGTCGCTGAGATGCACGTTGGAGGTGGCCGAGAGGAGCAGCGAGGGGACTGCGAAAAGCAGGAATTTGGAGGGGATGACGGCAGAGTACAAGGCGGGCAGCAGGAATTGCAAGCCGGCACGGCTGAAGAAGATGGTCGAACCGATGAACTTAGCCAGGAATGCCTTGGCGATCTTCTCTCCAACCTTGTAGATGACATAGGTGGAGAGGAGAGGAACGTGCTCGGCAACGGCTTCGCCGTGGCGGCCTAGATCCAGACCTGCCTGCACCAGTTTGCCTGCACAGGCGACAGAGAGGATGACCAATGGATAGTAGGCAGCGATCTCGGTGAAGATAGGGCCGACGGGATTTCCCAGGACAGAGCTCGACGAGAATAGGAAGGTCTGAATGGTGGGAATCCAGAAAGCCACGACTGGGATGAAGTAGACCGCCTTCCGGCCGGAAAGCCGCTGGATGTGATCCTTCATGAACCATCCCACGGCGGCCACAATGGCAACTCCATAGGCATGGAAGACGTGGGTGCCGTGAGTACCATAGACAGGGGCCAAAGTCAGAACCGTCAAAGGCGAGTAGAACGCGGTGAGCACCAGCAGTGCTGCACCGGTCACCAGCTGTCTGGTGGTGGGTTTTTGCCACCAGGCACCGAGAGAAGACATGGTGTCCGTTTCTGAAAGGACGAAATCTGCCAGCACAACACGTTCTGAGTGAACTTCGAGCTGACCAGAGTGATTCTTTTGGCCAGGGAGCTTTCCTGAAGGTACTTGTTAGTTCCATGAGGTTCATCTCGAGCTGCCACTTTTTTCTTTGGAGGAGCAGGGGCAAACTGTGGACCACCGTGACCCGCAGACATGCAACGAAAGGACAAGTAGCTGGATGTGAAACCAAAAGAGGGAGACTAATCTTACCTACTATATCAATTCGAAACTCGAGTAGCCATACTCCGTTGTCGGATTTAATGGATTGAGCAAGCACTGAGGAAGTTAAGTTGTTGTTCCGCGGAGCTTCGATGACGGCAGGAATTAATCTGCCATCCGCCGCTCTCTTCCGCTTTTCCCCCCTCTCTTCTCCACTTCCTCCCCCTCCCTCTCTTCATTATCCTTATTGTTGTTCGACCCGTTCGAATCTCCCTTATTGTCGCTGAGACATATGTTCCAGCATCAGCCTAGCTCAAACCAATCAAGAATGCCTCTTTTCCCAATGGGTATCACGCCAACGACGCCCAAGATGGAGGCAAATACTGCCTCCTCCGCCGTGCCCACCTCCCCAGCCACCCAGATTAAGAACCGTCGCAAGCGTTACCTGGACATGCACCCAGAGTACTTTTCTGCTGATCTCGAGCTAGCTGGTCCGCTTGTCGCTCATCTTTGGTCTACGTTTCTGACTTGACTGGCACCCTGCCAGACTTGGTCGTCACGAAAAACCTACATAGTGATTATCAAGCTAACACCCCCAGCAACCGCACAGACCCCTTGCTCTATGACCGTTTGATCCGCCGTTTCCAGACTCCCGCAGAACGAGAAGCCGAAGGACGCGCCAAGGGATTCTCCGGTGTCCTCCAGGCGGACCTGTGCCGTTCCGAAGCGAAGTTCGAGGCGTTAAACCACCCGGACCCCCACGCCATGTTCAGCTACACCCGGGGTCCGAACGGGGAGATCCTCGCCGAAGACCGAGATGAGATCCCGCCCAGCAAGGAGGAAGGCGAGAAGCTGTGGCAGTGGGAGATGACCATGCGGTTTCTTCGGGGCGAGGATACGGACTTCGACTACGCCACCGTCGATCACAATGATGAATATGATGATTGGAACGAGGCGCAGGAACAGTACTTTGACGACGAGGAGCCGGAATGGATTGTCGAGGGCGAGGGCCAGGGCAGTGGGGATGTCAGGTCTCGGCTTCAAGGTGAGACGGGCATTCAGGACTTCTGATTCCGGTTTGGCTTGATTATCTGTTCTGCGGGGATATGGATACGCCGCGGTTCGGGGCACTCTCGGCTCGTCCCGAGTGTTTACTCGTACTTTGACCTACGATCTTCTCGTGCTTTCAGCCCCCGCCCCTCTGAGCTACGACTTGCTCTTCGCGGCGCAGTTCTATGACTGGATCTCCGTTCTTGCACACTACAGTTTCTAGGGAAATTGACATACTGGCGATCGATATTCGCCAGAACGACTTTTGCGAGGCCTGTCAAGACCGACAGGGATAGGAAGCATGCGTCATTGAATAGCAGACCACCACGTCATGGCTGGGGATGAATGTCCCTCGGCCGGCAGACGACCGAGACCAGTCCGCAATGTCACTGAAGGGGATAGAAGAGATTAGGGCTGGGGATCACTTCCACGGCTCGCTAAGAAATGGCTTTGGTGGAGGGGTCGATTGTCGCCTCTCCCCTGTACTTGGTGCACTAGAGCTTGGATCTCTCTTCCGCAGGAGTCGAGTGATCTGACGTAGTGAGTCACTTCCCCTCTCAGCCGCTGGTCAGGCTGATGGTGGACCGTGGGTAATTGGCGCACATGGTACGCATATTTCCAACGGGAAAACCCACAGGGAAACTACCACACAGCATACTGTGCCGAGCCACTATCTGGTGAATAGTCATTAAGTATACAGCTTAGTGAATGTATGCATAGGTACTTGAATGGATGCCAAAAACAGACAATGTGAAGATGGGAATGGAGGGTAGCTTGTACACAATCATTTCTTATTCTCTCTCATGTAGTTTGTGAGACATGTCTCTAAAGCATCCCATTTCCGAGGCATGACATCCAAACCTGTCACTTCCATCATTATCCCGAATTGTGTTCCTCGCGCCAGCTGGACGCAGAGTCCTCAACCCTCAACCCTCAACCCTCAGCCCCTCAGCACCTGCCCATGGAATCCAATTCCAGAATTACATCTTCACGATGCCGCTCAGCACAGTTTTCAGCCGAGCCCACGGTTAGCTAGCCCGGATAACCCTCATCCCAGCGATCAAGTCCACAACCCTAGAAGTTGTTCTTGCTAAAGCAATCCAGCAATTCAGCAATGATGCTGTCAGACCCCATATGACTCTTTTGCTTGAGGGAAGGAAAACGCATCCATCTCTTCTTCCATCTCCATCCTTTCTCTGCTTCCCCACATTTGCTGTTTTGTGCACTCAGCAACAATATTTTGCTTGGCGAAAGCATCATTCTTCACTGCGTGAATAGCAACATCTCAACTATTCACACCTTTACATATTGGCATACGCCTATTCTTACCCGTCAGTGACATTGATCTAATCTGTCATTGATGTAATCCTTGTCCATCCTTTCCCCTCCTTCTCCTCGCCTGTCACCCCTTTGTCTTGTCTAGCAGTCTCTCTATACTGCAAGGCATCTGACTTCTGCACCTCGAAGCGCAGAAGGTTTTATTGCCTATTGTATCGAACAATAGGCTGTCGATATATCAGACGGGGCTTTGAGCATTGTCCCCATTAGCGTCGACATCATTATCATCGTCATCGTCACCGTCACCTCCACCATCACCACCACCACTACATAGCCCACCAGCCCTAACACAAGTAGCAGCTGCCCTCAAGATGAGCTCAACGACCAATCTCCCCATTCGCCTCCACTCGGACCGAGTGTCCATTTCAAGCAGGGAGAGCTCGCTCGTAGAGGTCATCGCAACCACCCCCATCTCCATTTCATCCCTCCTCAGAACCTCCAGGACCTCCTCCTCCTCCTCCTCCTCCACCACCACCACCACCACAACTACCAATATACCCGACTTCCTAACCTTCCGACCCCTCACCCCGCTACCCACCAAAAACCCCCACCAATTCCTCGTCCTCCTCCCAAGAGGCAACCTAGGCGCAGGCGGCTGCGGCGCCGTGCAAGCCGTCCGCAGCTTCGACCTCAGCGACGCCACCAACGAAACAATCAAGCTGTACGCCCTCAAGACGTGCACGCGGCAGCGGGGCGCCGAATTCTCCCTGCGCAACGAGGTGACGCTCGCCGTGCACCTGCCTCCGCACCCGCACGTGCTCCAGATCTTCGCCCTGGGCGAGGTCATCCCCATTGCCAGCAGCAACAGCACCGCCACCCCCAAAACCAACCCCAAACGCAGCCAACTAGCCTATTTAATGGACCACTGCCCGCACGGCGACATCCACGACCTGCTGTACCCACCCGGCGCCAAAAACGCCGTCCGCCTCCCGCCAACCACGCAACTGTGCTTCATCAAGCAGCTCTTCCTGGGCGTAGCCCACCTGCACCGCCAAGGCATCGCCCACGGGGACCTCAAACCGGAGAATCTGCTGCTCGCCGCCGACGGGCTCCTCAAGCTTGCCGACTTTGGGTACGCGGTGCGCTTCCAGCCGCCGCACCACCACCACCACCACCACCAGGGGGAAGGCGAATGCGTCCACGTCCGGACTCCCGCCGACGTGTGCGGGACGAGTTGCTATATCGCGCCGGAGATGTGGGTGGCTGCGGCGGCGGCGGATGCAGCCATGAAGGCAGCAACCAGAAAAACAAGCCCATCAGCAGCAGCAGCATCAGCAGCAGCATCAGCAACAGCAACAGCAACAGCAACAGCAACAGCAACAGCAACAGCAACAGCAACAGCAACAGCAGCACCGGTACCGGCGGCAACATACGACCCCCGCGCCGCCGACATCTGGGCCTGCGCGCTCACGGCCCGCCATATCCTGGGCCTGGGGTATCCGTGGGAATTCGCCGTCGAGTCCTTCGACGACCACTTCGCGCGGTTTGTGGACGGGTGGGAGGCGTTCGGGGCTGCTGCGGGGGACACGCGCCTCGACGCCGCGGCGGGGAGATGGCCCCTGTGCGGCAAGGGGTTTAAGGCCAAGGAGTACCCGGACTACGCGGTGTTGGTGCTGGTGCTGGGGATGCTGCATCCGGATCCAGAGCGACGGCTGACGATTGAGGAGGTCCTACGGGAGCCCTGGGTCCAGGGGATTTCGTGCTGCTCGCCGGCTGTGTCGGCGGAGAGCCGCGCGGTGCATGATCACTGTCGGATGAAGGTGGATTCCGGCGTGACGTGCACGAGATAAGGGGGATGTTTTTTGGGGGTGGGGAAGGGGAAGGGTTTCTACGCGACCTTTGTTTTTTTTTTTTTTTTTTGTTTTTTTGGCAGGTTGGGGTTTTGGACATCATCTTTGGAAAAGAACAAGTCGTTGGTGAATAGACTGGCGATTGTTCGATATGCAGGGCCCAAAGTCGGCTGTTTGGATATTTGCAAGATTTGCAACAAGGCCGTCCGTTTGCTTGGGCATGGACAGGCGTATTTCACTGTACTGTACACTCGAGACGAGAGTGTCTTATGTTCGATGCATGTTGAGCGTCTTCGTCGCATAGCGATTATACCCTCTGGAGTTGAAATGCCAACAGAAGCTATTTGCTATTTGTCTGAGAGAACAAACTATCTCATAATGCAGCGCTTGCTCATGTAGGCCAATGATGAGCAGTAATGATAACGACGCGCCCTCAAATCGTAGCGCTCATTGTCTTCCCACAAATCATCCGTTTGTCCATCATAGAGGAGAATGTTTTACATCTATGTACATTTCCAATCCATCTCTATTCAATAGACCCCATGGTTGGATCCAACGGCTTTTCTTCATGTAGTATAGATGTCCAAATCGATAAGCCAGTGCATCATGCGAGCTGATTCTCCTTCTCCTTCAATCTCTTGACTGCGATCTCGCGAAGCATGAATTTCTGAACCTTGCCACTCGCAGTTTTCGGGAAAGACTCCGAGGAAGGCAGGAAGAACACATATTTCGGGACTGTTTCAGCTGTTAGCTATTTTCTCGAACCTGAAAGACCCGTGGAAAGTACGCACCAAGGTGATTGCTCAGTGTCTCGTTGACATATCTCTTAACCTTTTCCTCTTTAGCATCCTCGCCGTCGACGTCTCGGTGTATGATAAATGCAGCCACCGCCTCACCGTATCGTTCGTCCGGGACCCCAACGACCGACACATTCAAGACTCCGGGGTAGGCAAGAAGACAGTTTTCTACCTCCAGGGGATGGATATTCTCGCCACCGCGTATAATAAGATCTTTGACCCGACCGGTGATTGTGATGTAGCCGTCTGGGCAGATGGTTGCCTCATCACCAGTCTAGGTAGTCATCATTAGTGGAATCGATCATCGAGGACAGGAATCAGAAAGTCAATGACATACGTGCATCCAAACTTTCCCATTCTCGTCGGGAATCATCACCTCGGCTGTTTTCTTCGGGTCATTCCAGTATTCTTTCATCAGGAGGTAGCCGCTGACTGCCAGCTCTCCGCGGACACCGACGGGAACAACCTTGCGGTGGTCGGTCAGGTCAACCACTTTGGCTTCCACGTGGGGAAGAAGGGTGCCGACGGTGTGGATACGCTTGTCGATCGGGTCATCGGTTGTAGTCATGGCGGAGACTGGGCTGGTCTCGGTCATGCCGTAGCAAATGGTGAGTTCGGTGAGGTTGAGGACTTTATGAAGCTTCTTCATCAACTCCGCTGGAATGCTGCTTCCGGCTGCAATGCCAGTCCGGAGGTGCTTAAAGCCCTCGGGTGAGACCTCGCCACTCTCGAGCAGATTGAGCTCCTCAAGGAACATGGTGGGCACTCCGTACAGGGCTGTGCACCGTTCTTCTTGCACTGCTTTGAGGGCGGCTTTGGCGTTGAAGGACTCTGTCGGGAACACAATGGCAGAACCATGGGTCCCCGTTGCCATGTACCCCAAAACAGAGCCGAAGCAGTGAAAGAGAGGTGGGGGACAGCAGACAATATCCTCGGGGGTGAGGCGCATGCGGTCTCCGATCTGAGAGCCATTGTTCAGAATTGAGCGGTGCGTCAGACATGCAGCCTTGGGCATAGCCGTTGTTCCGGATGTGAATTGGATGTTTATAATGTCGTCAGGGGAGAGGTCCTGTGGTGGTAGAGAGCTCCCATCAAACGCAGCATCGGATGTTAGTGAGGAATATGGCGTAAGTACCCGGTAGCCGGTGCCTTGGAAGCGACCAGAAGAGTTGTCGACAAGAATGATATTCTTCAGTGATGGGATGAGTTCTGACTTTAGTCTAAGGCTTGCAAGGTCCGGCACGATAGTCTCCAGAAGTGGCACATTGCTCCGTGGAGGCTTCCGGGGCAGGTTCGACTCCGCACTGACAACCAGATGGCTTGTATTGAGGTGACTTAGGGCCGATGCTAGTTGAGTAGTGTTGAATGATGGATTGATGGGCACCTGAACGGATGTTACGTTTCATTCCCCGGTAGGATAGCACCAGACTCACCAAAATTGCTCCTAGTTTGAATAGTGCATAAGTTACCTATAGACACCTCGTAAGCTGCTGTTGGCTACTCGCTTCGATTGGGTATGTTATTGAAGGCTGTTTGCATACGATGGCGTATTCCATGGAATTTCCCAGCATAACTCCAACTCGGTCACCACGGCGTACCCCGATGGATTTCAGGCCCCTTGCAAACGCATTGCTTTTGGTGTCCAGAGCGGCATATGTCAATCTTTCGTTTTGATGCTTGGAAATGACGCTGGTTCCACAATCGGTCAGCGGGGAATCAGCTGTGGCGGGCCTGCAGATAAGATAAATACACTATGTACATACGCTGTCCGATCGCCATGTACCTTGACAATCTGGGCGAAGTGGTCACCAACCGTCGAATCAAATAAGGGAGGCTTCAGATTGGAGGGATTGAGTGTCAGCATCTGAGAGTGGACGCTTTAGGCGAGGTGCAGCAGCTCACCTCGGATGGGCCTTTGGCATAGCTCTGAGTGAGGAGTCCGCGCCGCCAAGCTATCGACGACTGGAGGTTTCTTGGCAGGCAGTGTGACCTCCAAGGGTGACAGCGGACAAATGAATTGAAGCGATACATTGCCAGTACTTTGGATTGGATGAGAGCTACATCAAGTCTGTCCTCGGTGGAAGACGTCAATGTACTGTACAGCACCTCGCCCCTTGCTTCGAGGCGGCAGTGGCAGTGGTATGGAGGTGTGGATCAAGTATAGGTTTTGGGTCAAGGTTTGGTGTAAGGCAATGTTTCTCTTGCACTCAGAGAGTACATGAAGCGAAGTCAATGAGAAGAAGAAGGGAGTACAAGACAGTTGCAGAAGACGAGGTGGTTTGAGGTCATTCACTCTTTTTCCCCTCACGTGTTGTGGAGAGAAAATGCGGGGTTGTGCCTGCCTTCCCAATTGGGATCGACCATGGATTAAGCTTAGTAACATCTGAAAACAAAATCTTATATAGCTAGAATAGTGCCGTACAGTATACAGTATACGCTCTATTTAACAGCTTCATCATTCTCTTACTTTCTCACTCAGTCACCCAACTCCATCACTTCCGCTGTTCCAACCACCATCGGTCCCGCATCGTCATCATCCCCATCACTATCGTCTTCTGGAACATAGTTCTTGTCCTTGTGGTCATCCTTCTCCAGGTGATCACTATCTCCGCCATGGTTCTTTGATGGATCTGGACACAGCACCTCTTCTTCTCCTCCGCCTCCCTCAAGATTCTCACTATCATCACCTGCGTTTCCTTCTTCGGTCTGTGTTTCTTCAGCAACGTCCTTTCCTTCTTCGCCTCCTATTTCCATGAGGGGAATTCTCGTCACGTTCTTCTCTGTTTTTCTTGCTCCCCCCCACTGCGGTCGTGCTTCCTCTCGGGTGGTCGGCGGCGGCTGTTTTGCGGAATAGCACTTTGGCGACCCGCAGCGGCATTGCCTCTTTTTCCAATAGCTAGGCCCATAGTCGACGGTGATCTCTTCGTACATTTCGATATCCCGCGTGGCCTCGAGCGTCATGGCGGCATGGTCGCCAAAGGTCCGGCAGCGGTACTCGGTTGACGCGTTCTCGCAGGCGTGATTGACGAACCGGGTCCAGTTGCCCTCATAGCATGCGTCGACGGACACCTTTCCTTGGGTGCGAGGGTCACTCGGCGCCTCCCACGCTAGAGCATAGGTCTGGTCCGGCCTGCTGCCGTTCGGGATGAGCCGCCCGACATACTCACCCAGAACGTCTCCCTTGCGGAAGGGCCACAGAGCGCGCACCCCGATGCCCCGGTCCTCCGTCTTGACGAGCTCCACCAGCTCCCCGGGCATCGACTGCATCTGGCACCGGCAGGCATGCGGCGATTCGCAGAAGTCACAACACCCCAGATCGTAGACATGTGCCCAGCGCATGGTGACATTAATGTCAGGCCTCGGGTCGACTTGATGCTTCCAGTCTGCAGGGTTCCAGATGTTCTTGGTGATGTTGATCTGACGACAGTTGTTGTAATTCGGGGTGATGACATGGTCTTCGCCCTGGGGCGGGATCGCAAGCTCGTGCGGGTGGCGGTCCCAGAACTTCTTGACGAGCTTCAGCGCCGGGCTCATGTAGCGGATGGAGTCGTTGGAGTAAGGGAGCAGCAGGCCACGCCAGTCGATATTGCGCACGCGGCCGTAGAATTCCAGGCTGTTCCTGTTGGCCTTGAGGGCCTCAAGTACCTTGTGCCGCAGCTGGCTGTCGACCTCTTGGTCCAGCGAGAGGATGCGCCGAAAGGCTTCCGAGTGGGCAGCGATCGCGAGCCCTTCCCACCCGATGCGCTGCAGCAGGTCATCAACTTCGTCCGAGAGCTCTAAGCCTTCCTGGGTCTGGTAGGAATCATCCAGCCCTTCGACCAGGTTCACCATTTTGCTGATGAAGTTCGTTGTCTTCTTGCACTCATGCCAGTAGCGCTTGCGGTCGGTAGTCATTTTCCTGCCCTCGCGTACGTTAATGCGCACCTTGCCAATACGGTTGAGGTCATAGTAGATGTTTCCGAGCGCCTTTGCTTTCAGAGTCGCAACCGACTTTGGTGACAACGGAGCAGGAGGGAGGGATTTCTCTTTTGATTTTGCTTTAGGAGCGGCAACAGACCCCAGCGGCTGTGGGTCACGAGTGGGAGGAGTCGCTTTCGCTACTGCTAGAAGAGTCCCAAGCGACTCTGCCACCAGTTGATGACGAGGGCGAGGTTTTGCTTCCGCTCTTGCTCTTAAACGAGCAATAGACTCTGGCGACAACGGACCGCCGGGGAGGGGATATGATTTCGCTTGTGCCAGAGCCTGCGACAGTGGAACATGAGTTCGGGGAGCCGCGATTGCTGCCCTCACAAAACTTGCAAAAGATTCTCCCGCTTTTGGTTGGCGCGCCGGGGGATTCGTTTTCGCATTTGGTTTAGAAGGAGCAGCAGGCTTTTGTGACGGTGGCTTGTGAGCGGGGGATTTCGTGCTTCCTTCTGCTTCAGGAGCAGCAACAGTCTCTGGTGACGGTGGACTATGAGCAGGGGATTTCGTGCTTGCTTCTGCTTCAGGAGCAGCAGCAGTTGGTGACGGTGGATCATGAGCCGGGGAGTTCGTGTTTGCTCTCGCTTTAATAGCGGCGACGAATTCCAGCGACAGGGAATCACGAGGGAAGGGCCTTGCCCGAGACTGGGACTTCTCCCGGGACTTTTTCGGTAATGACTTTGTTACTTTATTCTGGGAGGGTGAGGGGCTCTTTTTGGGTTGCGAGGAGCCAAGCCCCAGATCTGCTTTGGTTGGAAAGCACATCGTACGTGTTGGTGTAGGATAAACGCAAGTTGGTTTGGGGATCAATCAGTAAGTTGCAGTCCTAGATATGACTCTTCTTGGTTAGAATTCAGAGAACTGCCGATATGTTTCTCCATGAGAAAGAGGACCGTTACCGTTCGGACTTTATGTACATCGTTCGATCTGCTGCCACTTCTGCCACTTCCACCAAGATGTGAATCTATAATTACGTTGCTTTAGTTCATTGATGAAAGACCTCACAGGCGTCGAATGGGCAGCCTCCGACCTTTGTGGATGATATTATTATTGGCTGTGGCATCATTGTCCACTTGCAGATGAAAGGGTTGTCAGGCCATGCTTTGTATTCTTTCAGTGTGTTGAAAGGAAATCAAAGGGAACGGCTTTTGCCTCGTCTGAAACAGCCGAACAAAGCCTTTCGGGACAAGAATCCATTCGAGGTGAAACGTCACAAAGGAAGAGAAGGATAGACATGGTGATATGAGGTTGTGATTGTGTTGTATGTTGATGGGGCAGGTGGCAGTTTGCTGGGGTGGAACGCATCAGATATTGCCGTTTGTAGTAGTCAGCGAAGACCGGGCGCCGCAGCAGGGTTCGGGACGGGGCCATGAAGAGGCTAGTAGACATGAAGGTATACAAACTAACCACACAGTTGACAAGCTAATGCGATCTCTTGGGCATATACAATTATTGCAGCCACACTGCCCTTCCACATAATGTAGTTAAGAATATACAACCCCATCCCATCCCCTACCCACCACCATGGAATCCCTAAACCAACCGCGTAAACCCCTCCCCATTCTCAGGCGGCTGCAACCAGTTGCGCTCATCATACACCCACCCGTCGGCCCCCTCGATGACATGAAACGTATACGCGAACCGACTCCGGGGGCTCGTATTCCTCGAGCTCTGATGCAGGACATTGCCATGAATGAGCACCAACGAGCCGGCCTTGATATCCAACAACTGCACCTCCCCTTCCTTCCCGTCCTCCTCAACCAACCCCTTCGGCACCCGGGCGCCGGTATTCTCCACAAACTCCGTGCCGCGACTGCCATCGGGCACGCGGCGCACAAACCGCCGCTGGATGCCATTCCGGCGGTGCGAGCCGGGCACCATGCCGAGCGTGCCGTTCTCGACGGAGGCATCCTGCAGCGCGAACCACCAGCCGACGGCGGAGGGCGGGTCCGTGTACAGGAACTCCGAGTCCTGGTGGCTGGGCACGGCGCCGCCGATGCTGGGCTGCTTGCAGATGACCATGCTCTGCAGGACGCGGGGGTCCTGGAAGCCGAGGGAGCGGGCGATGGCGGCGTTGCGCGGGGTCAGGCTGACGTCGCGAAAGGGGCCGGATAGGCTGTGCAGGGAGTGGCCGATCTTGTTGACGGCCTGCTGCTTGGGCTTGAGGAGCGTGCCCGGCGTGTCCGGGTGGAAGGCGTCCGGCTCGAAGAAGAACCGGATCTTGTCGCCCGAGGTGAGGAAGTAGTCGTCGCCGACGTGCTCTTTCTGGGCATCGTCGTCGCCGGTGGTGAACTGGGTGAGCGGGTGGGTGTCGAGCGGGAAGGTGTCGAGGAGGTGGTTGGTCTCCGTGAGGCAGCGCTGGACCTCGGCCGGGGTGAGGTGGTCGGGTAGGACGAGGTAGCCGTTCTCGTGGAAGAAGGCGAGCTGCTCCGGGGTGAGGCCTTCGGCGGTCATGTTGGGGTGTTGCAGAGGGTAGGCGCAAGAGGGGGGTGTAGGATGGAGGTTTGGAGCAGATAAAGGCAGAAAAAGAGGGGGAGGAAACTGTGGGGGAGGAGGAAAGATGCTATAGGGCGTTTTTTATAGGCGGTGCTTATCAGCTTATCTAGGATTGCCTGACAGCTGCAGCTGTAGGATATAAAGAAGATTGATAGACTCTATTTTAAGACTAGGATCAGTATTCTTGCTATAGAAACAGTAATTTAATAAGATGCTATATAAAATCAGGTAAAAGATAGTAAGAAGATTCGTATAATGCTCTTAGCTTAAGTTTGTTTTTCTACTTTCTACAGAGACAAATACAGTATCAAAACACAAAGCTGCACTGACCGCCTACAAAGGCCACAATTCTGCTGGCAGATTGCGAATCTTAGCTCACAAAAAGCAGGCGGTAGACAGTAAGCAGCTAGCAGCCTGCTGAGTCATCTCTCCGCCCAAGCTCGGGCCCATACCCCAGAAATCACTAACTATATTAGGAACTAGTGCCTCGGCCGGGCCTTAGCTATAGCCGATGATAGACTGTGTCTACTGATATAAATCTGCATAGTATACAATTCACAAGCAGACTTAGCAGGCGAAACTAGTCCAGCTTCCTGGGAGCAATTAAGCATGTGGGGCAGATGACCCTAAGAATCACTGGGGCAATCTTACTTTCAACCAATGGCATCTCAAGTTCTCTATAGAGTCAGAAGCAAAGCTTTGATATAGTGAAGTGAATATCCTATCAGCTACCTCTGGCTCTTATTATATCAGAAGATCTATGTTTATATCCAGTGGACTGCCTATTAATAGTCATAGAGTTAGATTGCAATTATTTAAAGACTTCTTATCTTTTACTTTCTGTTCTGTTCTTTTCTTTCTTCCATCATCCACCATCCACCATTCTCCCTCCTCAGCATCACATATTCTGAATCCGTCAACTCTTCCTACCTGTTCATCACCTTTAAGATAAGTAAGTATCCCTTATATCTTCTGTACTACTAACTGCATCATAACTTTTAACTGAGTTCCCCTCTTATTCTGCCCTTCAGCAGAAAATCCCAAAAGCTTTTAAAGCTGAGTGTACAGTACTTAACTACTTGATCATCAGCTTTAGAAGAGGTAAGTATCTCTGCAGAGTTCTGCATCACCATCTCTATCGAATCCAACAACTAAGCTCTTCTCTTTCTCTAACCTTCAGCAAGAAAACTCCGGAAGCTTTAGAGCCGAGTTCACTTGACCACCATGTCTCAGGGTCAGTCTCAGGGCCAGCTAGACATGCTGCGTAGACTGCACAGCTTCCGCTATGCACTGCGTTCCTCTGGACCTATTGCTGGAGCTGGAGCTGGAGCTGGAGTTGTGCACGACTCGGCGCCTTCTATCAACATGACCACCCACACCACCACCACCACCACCACCACCACCACATCAGAAGACAACAGCAACAACGCCACCGACACCGACACCGACACCGACGATGATACCGACGACGAAGACTACGAAAACTCATCCTCATCCTCAGAAGAAGAAGAAAAAGAAGAAGAAGAAGAAGACTCCAACCCACCAAACCCTCTCCCCACTCCGCCCACAACACCACCTCCCCCTCCACCCCCCAATCCTAATCCCCAACCCCACCCCCAAGCCCCTATAAGATGCGCCTACACCCGCACCTGCACTACCACCACCCCAGGGCACCCGCAACACTACCGCAAACTAATCTCCCACATCTTCGGCCGCAACAAGCACTCCACGAAACAAATCCCCGTCACGCTCTGGTGCTGCTACTACTGCCGCAAGCACTACCAGCGTGCCCGCTACCGGGAGCGCGACACCTGGGCGCTGACGCAGTGCTTCTGGGTGGGGCAGATGCTGCTGCGGCTGCGCAGCTTGCCGGATCTTGTGGGGTTTCGGGTGCAGCTTCGACTCCGCCAGCAGCAGCAGCAGCATTCCAAAACGGGGGATAAGCCGGTGGTGCCGGGGTGGTTGGTTGAGAGGATTGTATCCAGAAACAACGAAGTGTGGTCGTTCGAGGAGACGCAGGAGCTGGTGGGCAGGAAGATTCGGGGGTGGTTGTTGGAGTTAAGGGCCAGGACTGTGGCGGCGGGGGAGTTTCCGGATGTTGAGATTTTGCCGGTTTGGAGGTGATTTGTCTTTGTCTTGGGGGTTGGCAGGGGATTCAATGATTTGATTCAATGACAAGAGTTGTGTCTTGTCTGCCTATGTCGTGAGCTTTGGATGTCCTCGGTGTACACTTGATCATATTGTCTCATTTAGCAAGGTGACTCGTCGCGGGTATCTGCATGCTTAGCATTTAACTCTAGCGACTAGCAGCCAAATAGAGATTGCGGTGTAAGCTGCAATGTCTCAAACTATGTTTCTATCAGTAGACTTCAAGCCGCACATAGCCACTAATCCCAAGATCCGTTAGGTACTGACCTGGCTAAAGTATTAACATGTATAATCTCTAACCGCATTATCACTACCACTGATACTAGGTACCTATAAGACAGATGCAAGCATCTGGCAAAACAAACCATAGACAATAAACCCGCAAACCGCACACAAGGTACAACATGAGACAAACGCACAGCTTCATAGCCAATCATCCACCAACGCCATATAAATAAATAAAGCCCGCGGGAGTCAAGTCATTATCGTATCGTATCATAAAATCAAATCGCATTAGACCCCCAACATCCCCCCTCGCCTCCCCACATTCAACCCTCATTATCCGGTATCAACTCATACCCACCCTCCGACGGCAACATATACGCCGCCAGGATCAACGCCGCCGCGCAGAAGAGACTCACGCACCAGCTGACGGTACAGAAGATCCAGGAGTCGGAGAGTACCCAACCAGGGAAGAAACGTTTCTCGTTGTCGAACAGGTACGCCTGTCGATGGGAAACGGTTCGGTCAGCACTCTATCCCGCCAGGAAATCCTCCACCACCACCTGCGCAAGTACCAAAGAGAAGGAACTTACCACAATCCCCATACTCGCCGCCTGCACCACCGCGGACAACAAGATGAACAAACTTAAAACCTTCCACCCGGACTCGCGCAGCCGCTTCCCGCCGGACAAGACGATCAGAAACGCGACCAGGCTCATGCCCTCCAGCACCACGGCGAACGACATCAGGAATCCGACGGAGCGCCACATCGAACAGAAGTACCGGTCCTCGCCGTGGCAATCCTCGCGCTGCGGGAAGCCCCAGCAGGCGCCCTCGACGGAGGAGCAGCGACGGTGGAGGCCGTAGGAGTAGTGGAAGGTGGGCTGGATACCGTCCTCTCGTTAGCCTTATCCCTTTACTCGATATGTTCACCGAGAGAATGATGGTATGCGCCCAGTGAAGCCCTCTCAGTCGTCGAGAAAAAATGGAAGTGGCAAAACGCACCGAATCATAGCTAACCCATCTCGGAACGGCGATCGAGGAGATGGTTAACCCGAAGGCTGTAGATGTTGAGCCATATTAGTCTCGGACTGCGATGTGCGCGAACCAAAACAGGAATCGTGGAGGGGAGAACGTACAAGCTAAGAATAATATTAAGGAACCGGTGTAGACGATTGTTTTGGTAAGGAACCCGGTATAGTTGCGATCTTCCCCGCGAGGCACTAGACGGAAATCCATCCTGGCGCCGGGGGGATTTTTAGATTGTAGTTATCGAAGCAGTTCTAATGAATGGCCGAGATTGCAAAACGCAGAGGGATTGCTGCTTGGTGCTGGTCGGGTGTTCTACTGAATGGGTTGGAATGATACGATGATGACGACACACACTGCGAACCGATAAGACGGGAGTGGCAGCGAGCAACAGCACCGCAAAGGAGTATCAATAAGCCACACAGGGATAAGAGAGAGTTTTTCAAGTGAGAGAGGGGAAGAAGAGGGATGCGAGGAGAATCCAGAGTCCGTCAAAAGGACAGAGGGGTTGTGTTGGTTGCGAAAATTGGAAGGAGTTGGTGGAAAGATGGGATGGGATGAGCTGATCAGGAAAGGCCAGACAGACAGACGGCCGGACGGACGGTCAGGTGAGGCTGGCTTCCTCTTAATCAATTCTATTCAATTCAATTGAAGGCAACTCAATTCCCTCCACCACACAACACCAAGCGCGGAAATTATTCTGAACCAGACGGTAAAGAGAAGAGCATGACAATTCAAATTTCCTCCACCCCCAACCCCTCCTCCATCGCAATCAAGCTCAATTCCAGCAAACCGCATGCCAGCCCAGAAAAAAATACCTCATAATCCGCCGTCCGGAAACAGACCGAGTGGTGGATGACATGATGTTCCCTTTTCCTTCCCCTACAGACAGGACAGTCTATGATCAACGCTCATCATGAACCTCCATCCAGTACAGTACAACCTTGGCTTTACTCCCAGATGATCAATCCACCATTCCCCATCCTCATTATCCATCCAAACGTATTCTGAAGCATGAAGTTTGTTCCTCGAACAATGAGCCCAAGCTTGAACAAATCTTATAGTTGCAACATTCCACCACCACCACCACCACCACCCCCCACCGCCTCTAGGTGGAACTTCTCCCCCCGCCTACACGGTCCAAGCGTCCACCACCAGAACTGAACTGCAAAGGCGGGGACTGTACACTCTACTATATGTACAGTATTACAGGACCAGCAACCCAGCTTCAAATTTCTTTTCATGCTGTTCATCTCGCCCCTCATCACCTACCAACCCAAACTCATTTGTTCCAAGGTTCGGCGCAGCAAGCAGCAAGGGGGGAGTAGAAGCTCAGATGACAGAGCTTGTTTACGAGGCACTCGGTAAGCCATCCTTGGAAATTCTTCATCCCTCATCCCGCTCTGCTCGGCTTCCCTCCCCTCCTCTCCATCCAAGCCATAAGTAAAAAGCTCCGTATACATGCAACAACCTGCCTGGCCTAGTCCGTCGTTGGTGGGTATCTTTCCGTAACGTCGAGTTTCATAGCGATCCAGTCCCCCTATAGATTCCGAGTAAACAAGATAATGACGCAGATAAGCTGCAAGGATCCGAATTAAGCAATCTGGTATACTAACACTGAACGTTCTTCCCCGACCGGCGCATTCGCACAGTTGCGTCCGGGTAGCGCACAGTGATACGCATGTAACCATGTCGCTATCCTGAACCGCATATATGCCGGACTTTAAATTGGAGATTCGACCTTCGCCTAACAACCTACAAATCTACAGACTCTCAAAAAGACATTGTCCCATCAAATCACGTGGGAGGGTGTCCATCTCCAGCCAGTGGACTTGTGCTCATCATTCCATCGCCTATGTCACGGTGAAGGAGAAAAAAAAAAGTATAACCTTCTGGCCCGAAGACAGAAAGAGCCCACGGTATCGAGAAGAGAGAAAAGAAAAATGAGAAAGAAGAATCATAGGGAAGATACAGAATAATCTACATCCGACATGAGGCTGGGGAATTCCATGACCGAAGCAAAGTCCATGATAATACACGGCCAACCAGCAAGAATATTAAAATAGAAAAGAAGAAACAGCGTCAGCACCGCGTCGGTGACAAGTTATGGTAGAAAGACACATCAAAGGTGGGGATGTAGAATGGAAGAGAGAGAAAAAAGAAATCCCAGGTCATCAGCAAGCGGAGAGAGAGAGAGGGAGGGAGGGAGAGAGGTAACGCCAAACCCGCCAATGCAATCCAGTGCGTCGGACGCTTTCATCCCGCTCGACTCTGCTGGATCATCGCACGAAAGTCATCATTGCTCTTTTTCATTTTTTGTCCGTCGTCCGGGGCGGAGCTGTCTGTGTTGTTCGTCATCGTCGTCGTCATCGTGGTGTTGGTCGTAGGCGCGCCATTCTGCGCGTGGCTCTGCCCCTGCAACCCACCGGTGGCTCGCTTCACACCCAGGTGACCGCGCTTGCCTCCGCGCGCCCCAGGCTGCGGTGGCCGTTTGATCGGTCCGGTCGGTTGGAGTCTTGCCCCCGACTTCTCAGTAGTCGCCTTGCTGCCGGTGGTTCCGGAGTGGCCTCTCTTCTCTGCCGACTGCTTCAGCATTTCCGGTACGCTTCCCACATGTAATTTCCGGCCGGGAGCAATCGCCTGTCCTTCCAATTCCAGCGAGGCTTTGCCGGCAGCATGAATGTCAGCGAATTCGACGATCGCTCCTTGGTGGTCTGGCCGAAGGATAATCTTGATCAGCCTGCCGTACGGCTCGACTAGCGCGCGAATCCGTGCGTCGTTAACCGTGTCGGGAACGTTCATCAAACCCAGAGTACGCGCAGCCCGATCATTACTAGAAACCTCCTCTCCGATTCCGTTGGCTTCAACCGATGGAGATCGCGAGGCGGACACGCGAGACAGAATCGTTGTGGCACTCCGTTTTGCCCCCTGCGGTGTGGATAACTTCACTTGCAAAGGCCGGGACCGATACTCTTGTTCGTGCATTACCAAAGCCGCCTCGGCTTCCTCCTGCAAACATAATCAGCGGGATGCAATGATAGGCAGGATCTTATAAACGTACCTTGGAAGCGAAGACAATATAACAGAAACCTTTGCTGCCTCCGTCCACCTTACGGGGAATGCGCACCTGTTCGACGGTGCCGAACCGCAAGAAAAGCTCCTCCACGTCTTGTTCGCTAGCCTTCCAGTCCAGGTTGCTCACATGAATCTCACGTCCTTCGTACATCGGACCATGACGGTCCTGTTTGCGAGTGGGATCAGAAATCTTAGCGACCAAGTGAAGGCCATTGCCGACTGTAGACCCGTCTAGTTGGGTGGCGCTGTAGGCTTCTCCAGACGTCTTGAATTGCACGTAACAGAATCGCCGATGCGTGTTGTACTTGAGTGACGGGAAGCGGATGTCAATGATTTCTCCGTGCTGCAGTAGGTTAGCAATGTAGGTACCCTGACTACACACAGAAGGGGAAGTCACCTCACGGAACAAATCACGAATATACTGTTCATCTGCAGTGGGAGGGAAATTGGTGACAAAGAGTGTAGACCCGGACCCGAATTGGACCTCGATGGCTTGTCCATCGATCATCTTCTGATCGCGGGTCTGCGCGACGACGGCTTCATCCCGGTTGTTGAATTCAATGATGGCGGTCTCCGAGTTCCCGTTTGGCGCAGAAAACATTTTCAGGCTGTTGATCGCACCGCACTGCCGACAAGTTAACTACGCGCTGCACCACTCTGCAGACGGACCGTGTACTTACATGGCGAAAGAACTGCCGGACTTTATGTTCCGTAATGCTACGAGGCAACTGCGTGACGACCACAGTCGCATTCTCGCGATCACGTTGAAGCGCAACCGGTTCGGGCGTCACGAGAACAGATGGGGTGGACTCTTCTGCACGGGCCCGTTTGGCAGGTGCTGCTCCGTTCACGTTGACCTCGTCTTCCCGCTTCCTCTTTTCGACTTGTGTCGCCTGCTCGATGACTGCGGCCTGTTGCTCGGCCTGCCGCGCGGCCGCCTCCCTTGCGTCCCGCTCGCGCCGGGCTGTGATGGCCCTCATCGCCTTGCGGGTTTCGAGGATCGCCAGCTGCAGCTCATCCGAGTCTTCGTAATCCTCGCAGTGAGCGATATAAACTTGCATGATCTTCTCCGGCCAATCCAGATCCGTCCGCTTAATGGCCTGCTTCAGAACGGCGGTGGCGTAGCTGGGGTTGGGTGTCCGGCGGGCGGCGTCAATGGTGGCTTCTCCCTGCACAAACTTACTCCAAGAGATGAGTTCCCACTCGTAGTAAGTCAACCAGAACTCGTAGCTGTTACCACGCCGACCCACAAGACCCTTGAAAGTCTCTCGGGCACTATCCCAGCTGCCGCTTTCGCTGAGATAGCGGATGTAAATTCGTTCCAGGCGGAACAAAGGGTCCCCTTGGTAGTTCCGCCCGTATTTCTTCTCGCCAAGCTCCTGAACGCTTTCAATAGCAGATCGGATTCCGACCTCCGCCACGTCGATATCTTCATCGGTCGAGTCAGACAGGAAGGCCTGTCGACGCAGATAGCTGCACCAGGCGGTATGCACTTTTAGTACTTCCTCCATTCCCCCGACATCTAGCAAACCGGTGCTTGTCGCTTTGTGCTTGATATCCGCGATCTTCGCAAAGGACTGTCCTTCGCGCTCGGAGCTTAGCAGATACTGCGACCAGAGGGTGCCGGAACCGGGACAGTGGCGAGTCGCACGGTCCAAGGTGGCCATCGTCGCAGTTTTGGTGTTGCCGTGCATCGACTCGTTAACAAGGTACATGATAAAATCCTCCCACATATGGCAATCGGTCGGAAATCGAAGCACCGCGCGCTGGTAAATCGACTTGACGAATTCGAAATTGCCCAGCTGCCGCTTGCGACGACTTTGTTTGAGCTCCCAGTCAAGATACTCCGTGAATAGGGTATATTCCTGTCCCAACTCGCCGGACTCGGTCGCATTGCGTAACTTGATTTCGAACTCCTCGCGGGCGGAGTATTGTTCCTTAGCGGCCGTGGCGTGTCTTCCGACCATGTCGGCCATGATGCTTTCGTAGTTCGCGTTGTAGTAGTTCGAAACAAAGCCGGAGAACAGCTGGAAGGTCTGATCCCAGGTGGCGTGGGGCGTTGCAAGACGAACCTCAAAGAAGTTCCGCACATGATTCACCTTCTCCTGGGTAGCGTTGCGGGCAAGATCCTGGAC